GATTGTCTGACGACCCAAAAGCAGCATGTGAAGCACAGATCCATTTTTTAGTTGCACAACCTTTTCTTCCGCAAAGCCACGAATAAGAACGGAGCAGCCTGCAGAAAGGCCATGAAGACAAAACGGTTGCCGCAGTTGCTCCGACCAGTCGCAGTGAAACGCGGGCGCCTCACCGGCAGAATTTGGTGAAAAGGGAAATGGGTAAATAAGGTCGCAGTCGTCAGAGTAAAAATACCCCCTCTCATACGAGTACTGCTGAAATTCTTTCAACCGGCTCCTATCAGTCGTCGAGAGACGTAGCGGCACTGACCCTGGGATAAATAGCGGAATCCATTCCGTCCCTAAAACACGATGAATGATGCCACCAAATGGCAAAAGGGCAATCAGCTCCACCCTTGTCGCAACCAAAAGGTAGATTGTGTCCAAAAGAATGCAACCAAACATAGCTGGGTACTCTGCAAGAGATTCAAAAGGACCGCAAACATCGTACGCCTCTCTAAAACTTGAAAATTCACCCTTGCCAAAGCCTCGGCACCGCTCCATCTCCCCGTTGCCATTAACGACCAACGGTACCACGACCCAGCCGCCATCCCATTTGTTCGTCCCATTTGCCACAATTTTCTTCATGCAAGGCGTCTCTGATGGGGAAGCGTCTTCAAAAAACATCAGTGGCTCTAATTCAATTGGAGCGGGTGGATCGACGGGCTTTGGAATAGACAAGAACAAAATCTGGTGGCCATTTTTTACGCACAGTGCGCAGCGTTTGCGAGGAGTTTTGACGGCCTGCATAAAGACCTTCCGGTCGTAGCACCGCACTCATTGAAATAAATAATTTTAAGAAAATTAAAAAAATGCAGAAAGAAGACACAAAAATCAAGACAGCGAGAGATGGGCTGACAAGGGAGAAGGGTAAAAAAAAAAAAATCGTAGTCTGTCCAATCAACAGAAAACCAAAAAATTTACACATATAACAATTCATGAGGCGGAGTAGCCGCCATTCCCGTTACTCCTATTACATATAAACAGCCTCTCATGCTCACCGTTGCAGTTACATAAGAGCCTGGAGTTTCCTACCCATCATGGCTCACGTGGCCAACCTCCTTGTCCATACTATCCAACCATGGTTTAATTGGCGTAGATTGAACAATTTCCTCATAGACGCGGTGTCCTCTAACAGATTGAAGAACACCGTAAGTGTCCAAATCCGCAAGATCTGGTTTTGAGCCACCGTGAAACTTTTTCTTCCCACCCAAAAGGGCTTTTTCAATAAAGGTGTTTATCTCACCATGAAGTCTTCCTTTTACATCTTCCCCCTCGTGTAGATGACCGCTTTTAAGGAGTCGGGGCCTAGTGATGTATTGAGATACGAGGTACATCACAGGTGCACCCACTATCTTTAGGAACAACTTGTTCGAATACGGGATCGTGTCAATGTTATTTATGTAGGAATAACCGCACCACGCCCTGTAAAGAGAAGAGTTAAATTCCAGAGTCAAAAGGCGTACCATTGGTCCGCGGGCCCACTCACGCCACTTCACAACTTCCGGATCCTTCAGCTGCTTCTCCATACCCACATGCTTTGCAAGAGTACTGACGATAATTTCAGAGTCCACGACAAGTGGGCCATTGTATCCGTGTACATTAAACTGCAACTGTGGTACTTTTTTGTACGCAAATGAGGAAATCTCCTTTTTAAACATTGGCTCCACCTCAACACATTCGTGTGGAATTTTGGCGTAGTCCAGCAGGGCCTTCGCCGTCCCACAAAAGGGGCAAGTGGAATATCGATAGAGAAGAATCTGCGGGTGCTCCTTCGGATTCCTCAAGTGTGAAAGAGCCCAAGACAGTTCTTCCTGGTTTTGTGCCGCGTTGAACTGTTCAGCCGTGCAGCTGCGGTTTTCCTTCAGTCGTCGCTGATACGTAAAATAGGCGCCGCCAATCGCCAGTGAGCCGATCAGACCTGTCGCCCCCAGCAACTTTCGGCCAATTGATCCCTTACCCAAAACCATGTGAAATTTTTCGGCTAAACTGCGGATAAAATAAGAGCAAAAAAAAAAACCACAAAAACGCTCAATGAGGCGGAAATGAGGCCCCGCATGGAAGACGCACAGTGCCGTGAGAAAATCAACCCCGTTAGTTTACAAACAACGCAATGAAAAAAAAAAAAAAATCACGATAAAGGGCGCAAAAGCCAAAAAAAATAAAAATAAAAAAATAATAATAATAAAAAGACATCGAATGCATAAAAATCCCACCCAACATCCAACTGTGTTGCCTGCGAATGGGCAGCCTCTCTGGGCCTCCTCTAACTCTCCAAACCCACCGCGCCGCGGGGGTGGATGTGATTGCCAAAATGAAAAAACCTGCTATTTGCCCAACACCCCACATCAAGCCCGATCCATAATACACCAGAGCAAATCAAAAATAACAAAGTAGCATTGAAATACTCCAGTTGGAGAGTAGAGAATCGGCAAGACCTCGTCCTTGACCAAATCCATTCGAAAAGCTTATTAAAAAAAAAAAAAAAGAAACGAGAGGGGACCAAACTGGCTGGGGAAAAATCAGGCGGCGTTTTCTGCGACTTGTTCACCGTTGCAACCCGCTGCCAATTCCAACAAGCGTAGAGCCACCAACTCCTCAATTTCTTCATTTCTACCATACCTTTGGCGGTACTCGTTAACCTCCAGCAGGAGTGATTCTACATCCTCAATGGTGTAGGGAATATGCTGAAATAAAGAAGAAACACGCAGAATACTGCTCTCCAATGACTGTACGCGATTCTTTAAGACACGAATTTCATCATCTCTTGCAGCAACCTGATCATCCCTCTCCATCCATTTTCTTGTCGAAGAGCTCAGGTGCCCTAAACGGATATCAATATCCTCCAGCACGTTCAACAAAAACGTTATTGGTGACTCATGCTTCATTGTCTGTATAATGCCCATGATTGCATCGTATGCACTGCTGGCTGCAATACCCTCTTCATGTCGTATTGAAATCATACTCTTAACAAACTCCAATTGCCTCTTCAGCCCAATAATCTCTGTATCCCGAATGGAAAGCGTTGAAGCCAGATGCCTATTTTCTTCCAACTTCTCCATCCCCTGCTGCAATAGATGCAGCTCCTCCTTCGTTTCTGCCAGCAACAAATATGTCCTTCTTTCATTTTCTTCGGCTTCAAGCTGGTGCCTTTTCAATAACTCGGTACATTCGTCTTTTTCCCAAATTGCCTTCTTGAGCTCCTCTTGGAGGTAGCTGAGTGCCTGAAACATTTTTTCGGTCTCTCGTTCCAAGAAAGACTTTTCTTTCGTGAGGGTGGCAAACTTGCCCCGCTCCACGTGAAGAGTCCTCTCCATTTCCCCCAGCGCATCGGTGATGTTCACAATTCCCCGTTGTGCCGTCACTGCCTCCTCGCTCGCCTCCAATGCACAATGCAACTCTTTTTCAAGTTCAATAACGCGAGCACGATAAGGATCACTGTTGTTCTGAGAATCGTGCGTCGGAAAATCGTTATTGTGACTGTCAGTTGTGTCCAACTTGTGCAGCTGTGCCTCCAAATGAAGCACGCGGCTACGAAGCTGCGACTCCCTCGCCTGGGAAGTGGCATTTAAAGCCAACAAGTCTAACAACTGCGAATCAACCCTCGAGTCGGGCCCAGCTTCTTTTAGGCGATCAACAGCCAGACGAAGATCAGACAACAGCAGTCGGTTTCGCTCCTTCTCAACCATGTACTTCTCCCGCCAATATTCCACCTGTTTTCTCAGAGTGTTTCCCCCCACTATATCGCAGGGTCTGTCATCCTCCGACCGAAGGGCAGTCATTTGTTCGCCAAAGCATTTGTCAAGAGCAAAAATCGTTGCAGCCATGCTCGCTCGGTCCCTATTCGGGCTCGATACAATATCCATCACCGTTTTACGATATGTATCCATCATTTCTAGCAGACAGGCGTACTTTTTGCAAATGTGTGCGTTCTCGCTCCTAATCACAGTCCACGCTGCCATTTCAGAGGCAGCTGCCTGCATTCTGTCATCGCCGAATTCCTGATCTGTCCATGAGAGAAGAATGTTTCCGCCAAGCACCCAAATGGTGGCAACACGGGCGACGCCGGTCAAAAAAAGAACAGGGGAACTGGTACCACGCCCTATTCCCATCGCAGAGTCAACCTTGAAAAGCCTCACAGGCACACAACTGCAGGAATCCCAGATAGTTACTAAAAATTCCGCATCAAAAGACGCCACACGCGTTAAAGAAATTGGCACAAGCTGTTGCACCTTTGCACACGGAATCAATCGCTCCTTTTTGAGAGATAGCATCTGGGCAAATTTCTCCACTACATGAAATACAGTAATCCATTGATTTCCTCCCACCCAGCAGGTGTCGGCATATGCCGCGTTGTGCTGTGAGCACACAAACACAGCCGAATTCGCAGACTCTAACAAATGCACGCACATGGGATGAGAGATCTCCTCTCCCCAAAGTGCGATTCGATCCTCCTGAACAGTTAACAATGAAGTTCCAAAGCGAGTGGGAAAAACCGCAAGAACATCGGCGCCCTCACACGGGAACACGCGCTGCACCGCCATCCGTTCCAAATCCCATGTTTGGAATGCCCCTTTTTGACTTGTCGCAAAAAAAGAAGGGTCATTCTCAAAGGTATGTAAACTATCGATCCGCCCCACGTCCGCATTAAGTACTCCGATCAACACACCACTTAATTCGTAGAGGATAATGTTACCAGTTCTTGTGAGAAGCCATAATTTATTCGCGGCAATTCGGATCGTTTCACACCCCTCGGGTAAACTCACCGAGTCCAGCAATTCGCCATCACGGGAATCAAGCGCGTCAAAGTACGTTCCGCAGGATCGAAGTGCCCAAACAGTGCCCCTAAAGCAAGTCACGCTACAGTACGACTCCCCTTTACTCAGAAAACCCTCCGTTCCATCAGCAAGAAGGACCTTTGACGTTGGCATGACAAAAGATCAACCTTCCCAAGACACACACACACACAAAAAAAAAAAAAAGTTACCCCGTTCTACGTCCTTTTTTATTGCCTTAAAAAAAAAATTGTCAAAAATATTTTTTTTAAAAAGGCAATTCGTTGGTGGCGATAAATCACTTTAATGGTTGGGGAAAACACATCCAACAAGCAAAAAAATAAATAAATAAATACATTATACTTCACTCAACAAAACCCTTGCCTCACGAAGCATAGCGTGTGGAAGGCATGCCATCCGCCCATGACTTGACGTGTTTTGGCCAGTGTTCGTCGTCTGTGTGATTCAAGCCGTTGGAGTAAAGTCGTGGTTCTTTTCGCACCTCCTTTGATAGTGCAATCTCTCCAAGTGACTCATACGGACGCATCCGGCGTTTGGCACGGTTTTCCATTTTACGATACTTGCGTCCATACTCATCCTGGTCACCATGCACTATAGCGTTCACGCGATTGGCGTAGACCTTACGCGAAAGTCGTTTGAAGGGTTTTTCTGGTGTATCCAGCGCACGGAGCATATGCATAATGCTGCCGTTGTTGTTTCCCTTCTTGAGTACCTTCTTTTCTTCCGCACTCAGCAGGAATGTGCGCTCCGCTACCTCTTGACTGCGCCGCACACGAGCGCGCGCCAACTCCTCTGGGTCCAATGGCCAATGACCCTTTGTGTCCAAACCATTTTCCACGTGTTGGGCAATGTAAGCAATGCGCTGACTGTAGTCCACCACAGTGGAGGGCCACAACTCAAATGCATCCGGCTTTCTTAGTGCAAGTCGCCGAAGCATCGATGCCCGTTTTTGCCGCTTTCTTTGCAACCAATGAAATCGACGCTTGCCCTGTCGAGCATCCCTTAACTCTGCCAATGTTAGCATCTCCTCCTTTGCCGCCTTGTATTCCCTCGCCTTCTTTTGTCTCTCCCACTCTTGGCGTCGCCTATCCAACGGCATGCGGCCGAGTGTCACACGAAGAGTCTCATCTTCCTCAGTGAGCCCCAATGAACCGTACTTCACGCGATCACGTATGCTGTACGGCAGCGCATTCACCCACCCCGGAAAATATGTGTCATCGTCCAGCATATACGCGTCTAGACGCATAGAAGGGTATATGCCGTATTCCTCCACAAGACGCGTCTGGTGTCGTTCAATGGCCTCCGACTCATCATCGGCATGTCGCAATCGTGTGAACAAACGATGAAACTCCTTGGCTGTTGGGGGTTGACCAAATTTATCCATCATGTGGTCACGACGGTCCACTTCCCGCTCCATTAAACGTCGCAGTGCCGTCGTGTATTTGCTGCCGGGATCAGAGGACAACAGTCCATCCTCATCAATCACACGTGCAGCAGCAATTTCCTCCCTGTGCAACGGATGCATGGAACCATCCAACAATTCTCTTTCCATCTGCGAGTCAACACCCAATGCGTTCATTCCTTCTTTCTGCTTCTCCTCTTTGAGAAGTCGTTCCGTCTTGCGGGAGACTTTGTCCATGGCCGCGATGCTTTTCTTGTTGCGATACACCGCCGGATCCGTGAATTGGTCGCCCCGTTCCCTGTCACTCAGCAGACCCTTGTTCAGATTGATGCCCCCAGCGGCCGAGCGACGTCCAAAGGGGAGGCGCTGAAAAGAAGAGCAGCACCATGAGCACCTTTTCATTTCTGCCTCCGAAGGCCTGCAACACGCATACGGACAAGACGCAGAAGTGGCAAACACACACACACAAAAAAAAAAAAAGAATAAAGAAAAAAAAAAGCATTGGAGTACATTCGCAACTCATTAATTTCTCTTTTTGTGTTTTCCACGGATAAACAGTTACAAACCCGTACACACGCACATAATTCCATACACCATGTAACACGAAGTAAGATCTAAACAAAACGCTATAGTAATTCCCCCATTGCGTACCCATCACAGCTTTCCAATGAGAACAAAAAAAACAATATATAAATGTATTAATACATGTGTATGTAACCCATCTCCTCATCCTCTTTTTATTCTCCTTTGGGTTTATGTGACGGAGTGCGGTTGCAAGTTTGACCTCGATTGTGGTTGCTAACTGTCCAATGCCTTGACTCTCTTGTAGGCCCAGCTGCGGTAGCAGTTGTACCCGTTTACGGAAGCCAGACACATGTTAACGAGAGCCAATGAACGACTCCCAGAGTTCTGCGGCTGGATAAGAAGCGCATACACAAACCATACAAGACCCGTGATGCTGAGAGCGGCACTGGAATTAAAATCCACCTTTTCCACCGGTACGCTTCCAGAAAAAATGCCGTAAAGTGGAACAATACTGAGCGACCACTTGAAAAGAGGCGCTGCGTTGTAAACGGAGTTCAAGTAGGCCACCACATAATACTTCTCGTACGGCTTCAAACACTCAAACACCCTCGGTCTACCAACATATCGGTGTAATATTTTAGGAAAAGCCTTCGGAATGACCTGCTGTGTAGCGTTGGCAGCAGACATGTTTCTTTTCCCCAAACTTTTCCCTTCCCCACTGTTTTTTTTTTTTTTTTTTTTTTCTTCTTCGTCAAGTTAACTAGTAAGTCCAAAAAGAAAAAGGAAAAAAAATTGTGTAAAAAAAAAGGGGGGGAAGACGAGTCTGCGCGGAGTTGTAAAGGAAAAGAAAACAAAAAAGTTTAAGCAACGGTGACAAAATAAAAACCCAAAAGAAAAAAAAAAAACATGGGAACAGCAATAAATATGGCGCATGAAGACTTCCAGCAAAAGTAATGCGACAAGAAAGGGGAGAACACACACGTATGTTGCGATATCCACCAGTGATAGATTCCATTTTCATTCATTCATGGCAAGCTTGTATCTCCCAAACGCTGAAGGAGAAGTCTTCGCTCAAAATCCGAGATACACCGCTGTGCCTCCCTGCTCAGCTCCAGCAGCTGATTCCAGTCAATATGACTCTCCTTATTACTCGCGCCACGTGCCTGCGACTCGCGCTCAAGTGTAACAAGACTTGGAATTAACTTTAGTCGGCGATAAAGCAAAGAATGCTGCGGAGATCCCTGCGGTAATATGAGTTGCATAGAGAACAGGGTCTGTACTAGCGGCAAACACCTCGAAGGTTCCATTAATGACATCCGTATGTAGGCAAATATGGGCGATTCTATTAGACGTACGAGTCGTTCCAGCTGCAGAAGTGTCGCCGCAGACATCTCCAGACTGCCCATAAATTGAATCAGCTGGAAAGCGTGTTCATAGGCACGCGAAAGCAAACAAAGTGAAAGGGCTGCTACAGTGTTGTACCGCCAACATTGATACATACCAAAAAATGTTGTGCGAGCCCGTTCATCATCCACGCCGCGATTCAATATTTCACGAAGAGGGAGAAACTCCCTTGATGTCAGCACCAAAGTACTCAGCGTGATGACAACTTTCTCCAAAAAGCGCTTGTCCTCATGGAGAGAAAGCACCGAAGAAAGTTTTAGACACAACTTCTCACACTGGCTCAAGTCCTCACCCTGGTACCGCAACTGCAGCTGCTTGATAATTGTGGGTGCCTTTGGTAACAGCACGTCAGCCTTTGCGTGAAACAGATCCACAAGTCGCGAAACAAAGTAGTCAAAATTTGTTTCCCCCGAGATAAGACACAGCGTCTCGATACACTTGTGAACGACGTGAGCAGACTGGTCGCATAGCAAAATAAGAACGGTTTCAACGTTTCGCTAAAGCCGCGTTCCACAACGGCTGCGTCTGTGTGCAAAATGAGCGCTATCCATTCTAAAGCAGCCACACGAGATTCTTCATTGCCTCGACCAGTAAGTTGAGAAGCCACACTTTTCAGCACGGCGTCGTGAGGGACATTTTTCACGCCATCCTGTTTCAACGCAACGAGCTGCATAAGTCTGTGGTTGACATTTTGGGCCGCCAAACGAGTCTCGAGATCTTTGGATCCCAACTGCAACAAAAAAGCCATAATGACCCTGCCTATAAGATGAACCAACTCATCCGTGGCAATATTCAACAGTTCGAGCATCCACTCCAATGCGTTTTTCCTTGTCACAGCCACCTCGGCTCCCTCTACGCATTCAGCGGCTATCAATAGCAGACTGTCCAGTTGGACGCTCATGTGCCGATAAAAGGCATCCTTGGTGTCGCGAAGGCACTTTTGGAGAAGTCGTGCCACCTCCCCTCCACCGCACCTGCCGGAAATCATCAAAAGAGGCTTTAGAAATCTCCACAAGAGGAGGATAAGCTCATCACCGGGAAGGTCAAGCACATGACCAATCCATTCCACGCACCAGTTCACAACCAATAAATCAAATGTCTTTTCATTGTTTGTTGTGTTGCTGTATGGCTCCAGTAACTCTGTGATGAAATTGACAAATTGTTCGGTCTGGAACTTGAAGGACTCGTTGCCAGTGATGAGCTCCCGAAGTGACAGGGAAACCTCCCCCGCCAACAGTGCCACGCGTCCATCATGGTCGTTGATGCAGGAAGCGAGGCCCCAAAACACCTGCATGAAGCACACGTCCAACAACTGGATCCGAAGTTGACGAACGAGCGCGTGTGCTGCCTCCAATGCCGCCAGTCGCACCGTCGCATCAACATCCGTAAAGCTTTCAAAAATAATGGAGGAAAGCAAAGACACCACCTCGGAAGGATGAGTTCGCGACGGCAGGGATCCCACAATGGCCCGCACAGCGCCAAGACCTCCTCTTCGATGCATTGGAGAATTGACGGAGAGAAGACTCGCCTCCGCCTCACGTAGCTCCCGCGTGACGATGTCATATGCCTCCACCAAAGGATATTTTACAAAAATGACGGCAGTCTTTGACGCCACATCCCTCGCCCCTTTCTGTCGTGACTCCAACTTTGAATCCACCAGAAGTTTCAGTGTTTGTGGTGAAATGAGAGAGTCCGACATTTAATCCCCGAGGAATGACAAAAATTAACTCCCTTATCACACCACTCTGAAAAGTAGACCAGGAAAGAAAGCAGAAAAAAGAAAAGAAAAAAAGCCCAGTATCCTCTCCTCAAGTTTTCCCAATAAAACAATTTCATGCATTTCAAAAAAATATGTGTGGACATAATGTTGACGGAAATGAGACAATACGACTCAAAAACAGGGTATATATATATAGGTATGGGTAGGTAAACATATATCCAAAAAAAAAAGAGTCAAAGGCGGGGTAAAAAGTAAATTTCTTCAAAATATATTTCCTCACAGTATCAATGAACAACAATAATAATAATAATAATAATAATAATAATAATAATAATAATAATAATAATAATAATAATAATAATAATAATAATAATAATAATAATAATAATAATAAAAGGAATTCAGATAAAGAAATGTCATATCGCTACATATTTTTTGTAGAGGGCCTTGAATGTGTTGAGGAGCCAAAGGTTCGATGCAGTCGCCCTCTATGTATGCTACTTATAACGGTCTCCACAAATGCGTCAACCGCCACTGAATCCAGCGACGGGGTGGGAACTCCACCACTGCGGCAGGATGCGTCCTCGATAAGATTCCAGAGATTCTTCTCTGTTGGCTCGATCACATCATCCGACGCACGAGAGCTGTACTCACTCAGAATGTGTCCCATCACCTTCAGCATCACCTCGAGCGTGACGGACAATTTCCTCCGCTTCTGGGCCTCATCCAACCCGTCACGCTCGTCACGCGGTTGCGTGAGCAAGTCTTCTGCTGGCTGTAGCGCCGAACAACCGTTTTGCCCGTGTGCTCCGCACTGCTTCTTCCCAGCGGATAGCGACTCCCTCACCCGAAAATGAACATGCTGCAGCGGGCTCTTCTTCGTTTGGGAGGCATCGACGTTCAGTGGGGTACTGACGCAACGCGTACCGCCATTGCGGGAATTCCTCGAAGGCGCCACGGCAGCAGGCCCCAGCGGCGGCAAAACACTAAGTGGGTGCACAAGTAGATGGACAAAGTTTCCGAGCACCGCGGCCGGTTTGCCATCCACAGGAACAAAACAATTCTCCTCCGCACTAAACGCAAACAAGTGCAAGTCCGGCAAGACACGTCTAAGCGTCACCTTCTCCGAACAAGAGGTCGTCGGGTCCACCAACTGTCGCCCAATCTGCCGCAACATGTCTTCGGCGGAAAGGGGATTTCGCACCTTCAGCTGCAACCGCTGTGGAGCTTTGTCTTGAATAGAGACGTGCACCAAAAACTCCTTGGTAAAGGAATCATCGCCAAGCAACATCGCTGAACTAACTCCTCCCCCGAAATACATACAAGGAAAGGAAAAGCAACGCAAATACAAAAATAAATAAATAAATAAAAATAAACAACAGACCCAGAAAACATTGCCCTTCTTCTCACTTTCCTCTCGTCCTTTAGTAAACTCAACAAGGCTCCGTACATCCCATTAAGCGACCCAGGCATATTTCCACCCACAAATGTAGCCTCAATATCCGTATAAGATTATCGCCTCAATCAAAAAGACTCCATCACATGTCAGCCAGTAGATATCCAAGACGGGATAACGTCTTCAGCAAAATAGGAGAAATGGATGGCCTTGATAACGGTCCGTCAAGAGAAATAGGCATTAACTGTGTCCTCCCTTCAGTACCCTCTCCAGTTCGCTTTTTTTTAGCAAAAGCAATGTTGGGTAACGGTGCAGTATTCAGCGCACTTGGATCGCACCGATAACGTTTCCATGGCTCATCGCCAGTCATCCGCTGAACAAAAATATCATGCATTGTGTTTAATACAATAAGTTGCTGGTTATACACCACAGAAACCAGGTATTCCAAGGGCCAATTCTGCAAAAAAAATGTCATTGGGCTAGTTTCGAATGTAATCAAGGAAACCTCAAACGCGTCTCGTTTTTGGACAAGGTCAAGACGAGATTCATCCACGGAAATTCCACCAATTACACACAAATTGTTGCCACAAACATGGGACTGGTGCAACGCACGACCTAAAACGCGTGTGGGAGCTTGATAGTATTCCATGCTCTTGCAGTTGAGAAATCCAATGTAGTTATTCATGGCAATGGTAGGCATTTCTTCCCCATCGTCATCCATTTCTAGCGTTGTTTCAAAACCACCATATATGACAATGGCAGAGCTATTTAGCATGTGTACAGTGTGTCCCCATAGGGCTGGGAACACTGCCTGAGAAAAGACACGCCAAATTCCTGTCAAAGTATCTAAAACGTGTATCGCATAAAACCCACTCGCCAACGTTTCCCGCACCTCATACGATGTGAATTCGCCCAACAAAGGTTTCCCACCAAAAACAATAAGACTATTTCCCACTGCATTCATGGTGTGGTGCGCGCGGTTTCGTGGTTTCCAGTCGCATGCCACTGTTCCCCAATCCAAATCCTGCAAATCAATAAAAAACACCTCCAACAAGTCGTGCTCAAGCGTTGTTGTCTTTGCAGATGATGTATCGATACTTGGTGACTCTCCACCGGACACATAGAACCGCGATCCACTCAACGCAGTTGCATGAAACCGCGTTGGAGGAGGAAACACGCCTGAGCAAACCTCCTCATGCCAGCAAAAAGACGACAAATTCAGCCACCAGAGTCGGTCTGTAAATAAGCCGCTAAAAAGCAGCAGATTGTCATGGTATACATGAGCATTGAGACTGTTGGCAGTCATCATCATCATCATCATCGTATCGTGCATTTTCCCATTTCCTTCTCCTTCTACGCAAAATAGGACAAAAAAAAAAAAAAAAAGTCACATTAGAACAAACATATGAAAAGAAAGGGCATGTCACCTTTAGTCCACACTCTTCTTCCTCGTGTGGCCACCAGGGTGTGCACCACCACACGAACCCCCCTCATTTTACTCCCCCCTTCCGGGCACGCGAGCCGCCTCATACCACATTTCATCGGCCCGTAAAATTACGTTTTCGGAAGACCAGAAGTACAGCCGCTTTCCCACAATTTTTTTTTTAATCTCTCAAATAAACATCTTCTTTTTCACTCACTTCTTCATTCAAAGTATTTTTTAGGAATGTTTTTCCATTGCTGCCTGCCTCTGTCGGCCCGACCGTGTGGGCTCGCTGTTTCCCCGTTTCTTCCCCCTCCGGTCCCAATTCACCCACAGCAGGCAGCAACGGAAAAAAAAAAAAAAAAAAAAAAAAAAGAAAAAAAGAAAGAAAGCACAGCAAAAAAAAAAAAGAAAAAAAAAAAAAAAAGAGAAAAGCAGTGAAAAAAGGATACAGAAATAGGTGCATACATTCAAAAGAGACATAAACTCCGGGCACGCACGACAGACGCGGCGTAATTATTTACGTACCAAACATCAAATCACATCAAAAATGGAATCCTATAATAAACCCCCCTCAAAAAAAAAAAAAAAAAAGAAAGAAAGAAAATCCTTAACACTCGCAAAAGTTAATATCGTACATGCGAAGGACGGTTTTCTTTCCCCTCCCCCCTCTTCAGTAAAGTTATTTACTCATCCTTCGTTCTAGAGGGAAATCGCAGAAATAACAGACACACGATAATACCCATAACCCTCCCCCTTGCTCTATTCCCCAAATAGAAGAGCATTCCTATTATTTGAATCATCGGCTCTTTTTTTTTTTTTTTTTTTTTCTTCCTGTATGCTTCCCACAGCCTCTTAGTACCAATGTTCAACCCTTTTCTTCTTATATGCGTAGGTGCGTGCGTCTGGCCTCTGCCTCTCTTTTTTATCAGAGCCAAATATGTGCGGCATCTCCCACCTCCTCTTTACATTTTACTTCTTATTTTTGGTGTCTTTTTGGCATCAAGGGCTATAACCCTCCCTACATTTGATGCAATACCTCCTCACCATTTTTTTTTTTTTTTTGTAATACACCGTTTTTTCTTTTTTTTGTTTGTTATTGCTTTTTTTTGTGTGTTGCACTTCTTTCCTCATTTTTCCCCTAATCATGCGTTGTGCTCTGCCGACTCACATGACGCCCACTGCTTTTTTCGGACACTCGTGAGCGACGCTCCAAATCCCTGATAGAGTCTGTGCGGTTGATAAAGCTTTCGCGTTTTTCAAGTGGGATGTGATCTTCATTCCCGGTAGAACCAGCAGGAAACCATGGCTGCCGCACCGTGGGAACCTTGGGCACAGAAAACTGCTCGGGGCGGGATGGAGACTTTCCGACTTTAGTTTTCCCTCCACGGGGCTCAAAGCCTGTGTCACCCTGACTCCAATCCGAGTGTGGTGTGGAGTGCGGTTGTGAGGGAACAGAAGCGGAAGCAGGGCCATTGGGAGGCGACGCACCACGGGAGCTTCTGTGCTTGTCCTCCAGAAGAGTGGTCCTTACGGCCCGTGGCGGCTTGCTGCTGGCTGCTACATCCTGACCCTCCATTTCCTCCTGCTTCTCATTTTCGTCGTGCCCTGACTTCAACACCCTTTCACTCAAATACTCCTGGGGGTACCCACCATAATAATTCGGTTCATCTTCCTCCCTAGAACGCTCATTCTGTACAGGCTCTCGTTTTCCGCTTTCGCGACCCACTACATCCCCCGGAATATTATCTCCGGCACCAGCATTCCTCAAACCTTCCTCAGGGTGGTCGCGCCCCCTCCTTGCGTCCTCTCTCTCTTCGGGGTAGGTTCGTTTTCTTCCTTCACTTCCCGATTGCTCCCTCCTTGAGTCTTCTTTCTCTTCGGGGTAGCCTCGCTCCCTTCCCTCCCTTCCGGACCGTTCCCTCCTTGAGTCTTCTTTCTCTTCGGGGTAGGTTCGTTTTCTTCCTTCACTTCCCGATTGCTCCCTCCTTGAGTCTTCTTTCTCTTCGGGGTAGGTTCGTTTTCTTCCTTCACTTCCCGATTGCTCCCTCCTTGAGTCTTCTTTCTCTTCGGGGTAGCTTCGCTCCCGTCCCTCCCTTCCGGACCGTTCCCTCCTTGAGTCCTCTTTCTCTTCGGGGTAGCCTCGCTCCCTTCCCTCCCTTCCGGACCGTTCCCTCCTTGAGTCCTCTTTCTCTTCGGGGTAGCTTCGCTCCCGTCCCTCCCTTCCGGACCGTTCCCTCCTTGAGTCCTCTTTCTCTTCGGGGTAGGTTCGTTTTCTTCCTTCACTTCCGGACCGTTCCCTCCTTGAGTCTTCTTTCTCTTCGGGGTAGCCTCGCTCCCGTCCCTCCCTTCCGGACCGTTCCCTCCTTGAGTCCTCTTTCTCTTCGGGGTAGCCTCGCTCCCTTCCCTCCCTTCCGGACCGCTCCCTCCTTGAGTCCTCTTTCTCTTCGGGGTAGCCTCGCTCCCTTCCCTCCCTTCCGGACCGTTCCCTCCTTGAGTCCTCTTTCTCTTCGGGGTAGCCTCGCTCCCGTCCCTCCCTTCCGGACCGTTCCCTCCTTGAGTCCTCTTTCTCTTCGGGGTAGCCTCGCTCCCTTCCCTCCCTTCCGGACCGCTCCCTCCTTGAGTCCTCTTTCTCTTCGGGGTAGCTTCGATTTCGTGACCGACTTCTCGATTGCTCCTCATCTGAGTGTTTTTTGCCACCTTTATGCATGTCATCGTACTCATATCCTTCTAAGGCGTTGATATTGTCCTCACTTTCATTGTCTCTTTCACAAATATCATCGTTGCTGTACCGGTGGCTTCGAGATCCCGGAGACCTTTCGCTTCCTTCCTTTGTTGAAATACGCCGCGTCCCGTTGCCGTTCACCTTGTTGGCCTCTCCGTTTTGTATGCCTGACACTTTGGCCGCGGCGTCCTCGGCGGTGCAATGACGGTTGTACGTCACCAAAAGCTCCCCCATCTGCTTCTCCTCGTCATACGGGTCGTGCATCTTCACAACAGCGTAGCCACGGTCTTGTTCCACTGCGAAGGCGCCACTGCTGACTCTTTGATCTTCATCAATAACGTACACAGTAATTTCAGATGGATCTCCGTCCAAGTCGATAAAACGGACTTCCTGGTTCCAGTTCATGACGTTTGTGAGACCATCTTCGCCCACCTCCCTGGGAGCAACAAATGTCGAGCCCTCCATATCGCCGGAAAACACAGACACCTGCGCCCGGGTGAGCGGTCTTCCATCGCAGTTGGTAAGGTTCAAACCACGTACGACGGTTACAAAGAGGGACCCACTGGTTGGCGGCATCTCCTTGTCCTCCAAGGCTTCATGCTCCAGCTTGCTCTCTTCGGCCAATTGGAGCTCTTCCAATTTCCTTTGCACATCTGCATGTGGTGTGAAGCACCACTCAAGCGCAATCTCACCCCACAGAACGTCCTCCTTTACCTTTGATTCAACAAGCAAAACAGCAGAGCCTTTGCGGTATAACTCCCCAAAATCAAGTGGAACAGCACCAACAACCAGTAGCTCCTCATTTTCCTCGCCTTCTTCGTCGCTTTTGGGAACGCAGACCAGCACGTGACCAAGCCTCTTTTCTGTAATGAGTTGCATGATCTGCGATGATGGTTCGGGGAGATAATTAAAACCTTCTTTGGTGTAATACGGCGAAGTTGACATGTTTGCCACGCCACTTGGTTGGTACTGGGTGGATGCGGAACAGTTATCGTCTGTGTCACGCAGAACGCAAAGAACACCTCCCGTAAAGGGCGTTGTTCCATTGTCTGTGTACTGGAAGATGCGGTGAACGACAAAGACGCAGTCAACAGGACTCTCAAGATTCTGTTTACCATCGGTGGGCTCAGTCTCCTGTCCGTCATACTTCACGTACCACGAAACGACAATGGAGCCCAGAGGAGTCTCCTTCATGCGACCATAACCACGGTGCATCTCACCCTCTCTGCAAACTGGTAACACATCCTCATCACCACGAGCACGATTGCGCAATGCGTATGGCGGCACAACAATACCGCCCAAGATATGGTCCTGATCGGCAGGAAGTTCATCATCAATGACAAGCACCTCCAGTGGTTCCTCTTCATTGGGATAAGGAAACTCAAAAAGTTCCTCCCACGTACAAATAGTGCCAGTACCACGAGGCACCTTCGCTGTTTGTCCCTCAAAAGCACCACAGCGCACAAGAATGGATGTCGGATCATGTGGATCAGCCTGAAGATTCTTCCCATGATGAACAGTTACAATGAGCCGCGTCTTGTTTGCCTCCTGCCGCAACTTCCGCAGCTCATCCAAGGTCATCGGTGGTGGAGGCACGACCGGCTGGTTTAGTTCATCGTCTTCGGGGTCATGATGAATATTAATGCTGCGCGGTCGAGGTGCGGCAGTGCTGATGGGTTTCGCCCGCTCGTCAAATATGTCGAGTTGCATGATCCGACGTCGCTCCAACTCCTTCTCCTCCTTTGCAGTGCGCAGCAGATGATCACGTTCATGGCTGGGGTTTATGGCGCTGCAGCAGGGGCACACGTACACCTGGGGCATTTGATCATATGATCCAAGAGGTGGGTAGCCCTCACGCCGAATAAGTGAAGTCGCGGTGTCATCCTCATGCGGAAGAGGTTCTCCAAAAATAGACATGGTGTCTTTTTGTTGCTGCTGTTATTGTTTTTTTGTTTTTCTGCTTGTTGTTGTCTTTTGTTTGTTTGCTTGTTTATATCTCGTATTTTTTTTTCTTTTTTTTTCTTCTCGTGATGTGTTCTTCCACTTTTTTTTTCCTCCCTGCGTTCCAACAAAGAAGAAAAAAAAAAAAATGGAAAGACGGCACTCACAATCCCGTTTTCTTCTTTTATTTTTTTTTTTTTTTATTTTTTTTTTTTGTTGTTGTTGTTGTCCCCTCACTCCTTCCCTTGCCCCTATATATATATATATATTCCTGTCTGCCTTCCCTCTGTGTGTGTTGGGGGGAAGGGCGTTTGTTTTTATATTGTTGGTTTGTTTTGTTTTTTTTTGGTTTTGCTGCGCGTCCCTTCTATTCCTTTTCAAATTCTATAATCGCTTTATTTGCTTTAGTAATCCTTCCCTCGCCGCCGCGAACCTGAAGCAATTGAGTGATGGAAAACAGATATGCTGCGGCGTGTAAAAAAAAAAAAAAAACAAGAGGAGTGAAACACGTGTCATGACAACTACGGCCATCTAGGGATAGTTTGACGTTCAACAAAACGGGAAGGGCACAAAAGCCAGTCACATCACACTTCGCTGCTTTCACAATATATAACATAAGAATTTATATATACATATATTTAATTGGGCTTGTATGTATGCTTATAAAATCTAATCTTCTTGGCTCTCCCCTCTTGTGTTCATTTATGCCCGACAAACACTACACACACATACACGCACACACGCACGCAACGCGTTGCTTTTTTTTTTTTTTTTTTCTCCATCCCTCATTTCCTTCTTTCGAGTGTGTGTTTCTGTGTATGCAATGTAAAGGTGGCTTTTCAAGAGTGTGTATACATGAGAAAAATGAAGTGGTCTGACGAAGGAAGTGTGCATATGTTTGCAATACGGGAACACATTGAATGGTCGGCCTGCAGCATACAAAGTAGTGAATAAACAGTATCTCCAAAATAAGTGTAACAAAGAGAGAGAGAAAAAAGGAGAAAGAAAGAGAAAGTGTTGTGTATGTGAATATAAATGCGTATACTCATACAAATTTTTTTCTTCTTCCTCCCTCGCTTGGTCTCTCTCCCCTCTTATGTGGGGAATGAAGGAGAAGGAGTGTAGAGATATCCACCTTTGCTGCGCAGCAGACTAACTTCCGCTTGCAGGGCGTCAATCTCCTCCTGCTGTGCGGCAATGAGAAACTTGAGGTTGCGTCGGTCCTCCGCCGTGGCGACGTTCGAGCCGTCATACATTCGGCTCACGACCTTCTGCGTGGCCTGCGACAGCGACCGCTCCACTTCCTGCCGGTCGTCTTCCTGGTCACCGAGGTCATGTAGGAGGTGGGTGTTGTGCACAAGTCGACTCTGCAGAGTCTCCCGCAGTGATAAAATTTTCTTCTCGCGCTTTCGAATCTCCCGCTCCCAGGCAAGTTCCTCCATACGCAGTCGCTCCTTCAGCTCCTCCACCTCCCTGCAACCGCTGATGGATTCCAGCAGCTCCAAGTTCACAATACGCCCGAATTTCAGCAGCATCGCCTCGTATACTTTTTCCTCCCACTGAGCGTGCAACGTCTGTTTTGCCGACCGCTCGCGTTGCAGCTGCTGCAGCTTCATCTTCATTTCTTTTAAATTTGTCCGACGGTCCCGCTTCTCCTCCGCCAATTCTTCAATCCTATGGCGCAGCTTCGCCAGCGCATGGTCAGAGACGACAACAAGATCGTCACGACGGAATGTGTCAGGGCACTTCTCATCCTCTTCGAGACACTGCACTTGACTGCAACGCAAGGCCACAAGCGTGTGCAGCATATTCAGCTGTTTACGCTTCTCGCCCTTGAAGTCTTCAATCGCCTGTAGCGACAAGGATAAGGCGTTGTTAAGTTTCTCTGACAGTTGCTTGTGTTCCTCGATGCGACGCTGCATTTGTTCCTGCTTCCGTCGCCCTTCTGCGATGGCATCCACGTAGTCAAGCCGCTTCTCTCGCATCGCGAGCACCTCCTGCCAACGATCTGCCGAGCAGTTGGAAGGACACGCTTCCTCCCAGAGGTCATCCTCGTTCACATCCTCATCGTCGTCATCGCTTGTGATATCATCATCATCTGAAGAAACATCGCCAAGATGCTTCCGCCGCTTAATCTGTCGCAAAAACACCTTTGTAACATATGGCACATGCTCCGCAGGGAAGTTAGACTCGATGAAGTACTCCCCTTCGTGACGGAAGGCTTTGTTCTTCTCCTGCAACTTTTCAATCAGACCCGCCTGCTCCCCTATCCCTTTCTGTAGTTCCACCATTTCCTTGTTCCGTTCTTCGCGGGACCGCTTTGTCTCCTCATATTGCAGCCGTAATTCACGGTCCTTTTGCCGGAACACAAGAAGAATTTGATACTCATGAAGCATCAATAAGGAACGAGCATCAGCAAGGCAGAGATCAGCGTCCACCTCAGCACGCTCCTCATACAAGTTCCAAAGACGCTGGTCGAATGCATGCATCATCGAATCCACACGGCACTGGAGACGCTGGCGCTCGGCAACCAGTCGTTGTCTTTCCATCTGTTGCTCCTCCTCCTCCGCTTCTGTGAGCTTAACATTCTCTAGTTTGACACGCAGCTCGTAGTCCATGCGTTCGCGAACAGCAGCTGCCGCAAGAACGGCCGTGCTGTACCCCCGCGAGGCTTTATGGATGGATGTCACCGTCTGGTTTTTCGCCCGACGATGCCCAGTTGAAGGGGTGTCAAAAATCGAAAATTGACTGGGGGTGTTTTTCTGGATCTCTCCCTTTTCAGTGGAGGTCACGGTGGCCATCAGCTCATTCTTTGCGGACGCCTGGGTTCCCGCAAGATCGGCACCAAACCCACGCTGGGCCTTCTTTGCCAAGTCCTCCCGCATTTTTTCCAATTGTCGCTGCCTTACAAAGGCGTCAAGACCATCCCGGTCAATGGCAAAGCGCTGCTCCGGCATCTCAATCGGCAAGAGGTGAACATCCGCTGACTGAGTGTTTTCCTCCTTCATTACATCATTGATCTCCCGTATTCGATGCAGAAGAACATTAAGGGACTTGCACAATGTTGCCTTTTCATCTCTAAGGAGAAGCAGTTTCTTTGTGAACCCACTGCGCAGATTCAACATCATCTCCTCAAGCCCAATCAACTGACGAAGCTTCGAAACTGCCGACGGCGTCAAATGATACGATGGATCCGTTCGCAATATGCATTCACCGCGACGTGCCACCTCATTTCGCATTTCCTCCTCCAGCTGAGCTGCCTCTACCGCAGGGTCAGGCTTATACGTGAGAAGTATCTCGTATCCCCTCTTCCTGCGCCTACGTTCCTCGCGGCGCTCATCCATCTTGTTTAAGTACTGACGCATAGTTGTCGTCAGCAGTTCACTTTCCCGCCTCGTCATTCTCACTTGTTCCTGCCACTTTTTCTCCTCTGTGAGAAGCCATTGTGCAATGCCACTGGCTGTGGATAACAAACCATCTTTCCCCTCAGCACTTTCTCCCTCAGTATTCATGCCAGTGGTTTTGCTCAGGTCATTGTTGCCCTCTTTTTTGTCGTTGTCATCCGCCTTAAATATTGCCTCTTCGTTTGCATCGTGGGCCAGTAATTCATTGATCTCTCCCTTCAATCGTTGAATCGTCTCCTCCGGGTTGGGCGTCCGAAAGGACGAAACGGCAAACTCCCTGGAAAAACTAATAACTTGAAATCGATCATAGATAAGATTATCAATAAATCGCTTCCGCATTTTTTTGGTACGAATCTCTTCCCG